ATAAAAGGCATCGTCCTCCTATGCTTTTGATTCACACAGCCAAAAAAGGTACATGGAATTTATACAACGTCATGGATGGCAATTTCCTTGATTTGCAATTAAAATTGCCGAATAAGCGATTTTGTGGTTTTTTCAAAAGGATGGTTAATAGCTATGAACTTGAATTTGGTAATAACCTTAATAAATCCGTTTTTTAGGGTTAAAGGGAGGAAAAAGAGAGATGATTCTACCATTGATCTTCCTCCACTAGATGGTAAAAGTGGTTTTAAACCAGTGATTGCCGAATTTGTCATTAAGGCTACAATCTCAGCAGACCCAATATTGGATGCCAACAATTGCATTGTTGTTGTCATATACGAGGGAAGAGGTCAATTGGCTTTCATTAGACTCAATAAAGACACAACATGGACTTACGTTGATGAAAGTTTGTGCTTTATTGAAGATGTTGTTCATTTTAAAGATAAATTTTATGTTGTTAAAGAAGGGGGTGGACTCTTTTCTTCTGATATTACTACTCAGTCGATCTCCAATAAACAATTGGTTGCAGAGGGCATGAAATCCGATCAGTTAGAGAAGACATACCTTGTGGTTTTAAATGATAAAGAATTGTGGATGGTCCAAAGGTATATTAAATTTGAAGACGGCAGTCGTGTGACGACAAAATTTAGAATATCCGAATTGAATTTTGACAAGTACAAGTGGGTTGACAAAAAAACCATAGGTTATTTTGCTATCTTTTTAGGTGATAACTTTTCAATATCTGTCTTGGCTTCAAATGTTTCAGGATGTTAGCCGAATTGTATATATTTCAATTGTGATTATGATCGTTACATAGGTTATCGCAAAAACCGTTTGCGTCATGATTTTGGTATGTATAATGTTGAAAGTCAAAGATTTTCAAAGCCTTATACCCCAGATGCTAAGGCTCTTATAGAGAAGATCAGGCAACCTCCATATTGGGTGTTGGCAACTTTTCAGTTGTAAAAATATATATACACGTGTTAGTATTTCTTATTGAGTTCAATCCATTTAATCACTTTTTCTTCTCTAAAAATCTGCATTGGGTTTTAATTTTACTATGTTTACTGTTTTGTAACGTTTGTTAAAAGTTTGTAAGAATTGTGTAATTGACTCTTTGCAACTTACTCTAATTAATGTTGTTTGTGTAATTTTTTTCATTTACTGTAAATTAAAAAAACAGTTTTAAGGAACTAAATTGATATCCAAACTTGCTCCTCATGAAACAAACTAAATAAAATTAACATTTAAGATCCTAGAATATGTGGCTTTGGGCACCATTTTTATTTGTGCTCTTAACTTGCTAGAGACACAAATAATTGGGCTCTATGTCCAAAAGCCACAGTGCAGCCACCTTTCAGTTGACGGTGTTTTCCATAGGGGTTTCTATTACTATAGGACACGAATCACAAATTCGTGTCAGACAATATAAAGCACAAAAAGAGTATTTGTGGCTGTATTCTGACAAGCTACCTCCGTCACTTTATCAACTGATCAGACATATGTACAAAGACAGACACAACTTTGGAATCGTGCTCAATGCTATATATTTTATTTTAAAAAAAAATTAAGGAAACCTTCAGCCAGTTTTAATTCTAAAACCAACTGGACAAAAGTACACTGACTCATTGTTACGTTTGGAGTTTAACAAAAAAAGAAAAGCAAGGAAAGCTTCAATTGAATCCCTTAACGTGCCCACCAGACAAGAACAAAAACCAAGGGAACACAAAATGCAAGACATAGAAAAATATACTGAAATCATACATTGTTTGATTACTGAAAAATATTAAATTAATTTCACAGTTTTCCTTCACTTTCTCAAGAATCAAATAGGAAAATAAAGCATTACCAAAAGCAGATTTTCGAATCTTAATTATTTATATATTGCGGATCAGTGGCATCATATTTTTGACACAAATTTTGACACAATTTTTGTGTCATTAGATTACTCTACTTTTAATGGTTGAGATTAAACATGACATGACAAAATAATATTTTTTTTCTTTAATGAATATTTTTACATTGAGATTAAAATTCTGATAGTAATTAAGAATTCATTCTCTCTCATCTCATTAATTATCTTTAATTCATTCATTCTCTCTCTCTCTTTCTTCTACAGAGAATTTACGCCTCCTTTGCCTCTGCTTCTTCTTTCTCACTCTCCCGTCCCATTCTCATCCCCAAAGCCACCCTCACCACCACCACCACTCCAACCCCTATCCTACCTAAACCACAAATCACAGGGACTCTCTCTCTCCCCTTCCTCTCCGGCAACTCTATCGCACACCTAGGGCCAGTCAACACCTACAAAGCCATCGTATAACCCAGATTTATCCCCAGCACAGCCGCTCTCTCTTTGACCCCGTCAATCGCTAGCCCACCCCACCCGGCCCCGTCTATTCTTCTTTGGATAATATCTGGGGAATCTATTGTTAAATTCTCAATTTTTGACATTGTGTTTATATTCCTGTGCTTCAGTTCTTGTGGTGGTTGTGGTGGGATTGGTACTTTGAAAGACAATTCTAAGCTCACGTTTTCCTAATTCTGTAAAAATCATGAGCTTTGCTTGTTTTCTGTGTCCAAAGTCCTAATGTGCAGTGTTGTTCTGCTTCTCTGTAGTCGGAAAGGCATTTGCTGTTGTAACAGCAGTAGTATTTGGTGTTGCCACCTTGCTATTTGGAATGGCTGTCTCAAAATTACAGTTACAAAATGTAAGTACAAATATGTTAAGTCTTGTTCCCCCTAAACACTAATTTTCCAATTTCTGTGTGGTATCCTTTTTCTGTGATAAGTTACAAAAGTTACAAATACAGTCTTACTATGTGGTGGTGGCAATTTAACCTTAACAGTGTGAAGAAATCCAGGCTGAAAAAAAGTCAAGGAAATGGCGCTGGGAAAGGGAGGAAAATATACAAGAGAAAGCCTATTATTAAGGCGCTTTCTAAAATGTTTGCAAAGACATCCAATTGACATTATCATTACTTATATTTTTTTGGTTATAATCTTTGTAAATAGTTCTCAGTGGCATTGGGAATGGCCGTGGCTACGAAGTTTGGAGGGTGGCTGGACTGACGGATTAAGGGAAACTGATAGGAATAGTGTTTCCAGGTACCTATCCAAACGCTGCTGCTCCCTGTTTCCAGTACCTCATGACTTATAATCTAAACTACAGGGTCAGCAAAAGATGAGAGAAACCTATAGTATCCCGTCATGAAAAAATGTCCAGACCAGTCAAGAAGCACAGGAATTCCAACCTGAAACACAACAAAAAATTTAACACTTCGTTGTTCTGAAAATTGGACTCAATGGATAAATTATAGAAAAACGAAGAACAGGATTTTTAGCTCTTTTTTTGTTTTTGTCAGGCATTTTATTTTTATAGCCACAACTTACAGACTAAAACTAAACCAGAGAAGGTAGATGCCCTTCAACATGATAACCAACCATAAAAAAATAAGGTTCATGTCACAACTCAGAAACCCAAAAAAGAACAAGTTGGCATCCTCTGACCTCCTTTGATTAAAAATACAAACACATTAATAATAAAATCCCACCAAATATTACTCTCTCCACCGATTCTTCTGCAATCTCTCTCTCTCTTCCTATACTTGTTTTTCTGATCATTCTTTCTATCTCCATTTTGATCCGGTTCTGTGTGGGGTTTTTGTCCTTTTCGTCATTGTCCAACCATCAGCCATTTCCTGGCCACCTCCAATGGAAAGCTGATTGTGCATAGCTTCATTCAACATATCTTCTAAATCATCTATGTAGAGAGAGAGAGAGAGAGAGAGAGAGAGAGAGACTCTTGTTGCAGATATAGAGAGAAAAAGAGACGGAGGTTTTTTCTGGTCTCAGGAAAGAGAGAGAGAGAGAGAGAGAGATAGAGAGAGAGGTGTGCGTGTGAGAAAGAAGAGAGATTACCAAGAAAAAGAGAGAATGAATGAATTAAAGATAATTAATGAGATGAGAGAGAATGAATTCTTAACTAATATCAGAATTTTAATCCCAATGTATAAATATTAATTAAAGAAAAAAAATATTGTTTTGCTATGTCTGGTTTAATCTCAATCATTAAAAGTGGAGTAATCTAAGGCCATCTCCAGCCATGGGCTATATCCCAAATATAGCCCTAAAATAATACAAAAACCATCTCCAGTCATGGGCTAAACAAAATTTTGGCCAAATTTGGAGGGCCACATTTGGCCCTATAGCCCTCCAACCAGGCCACATATAGCCTAAATTAAATAATGCTGGACCATTTTGAATGTCCAATTCGTACTGTATGAGAAACAAAGTATAAAAAATTGTTGGTAAATGACCTTTGGGTCAGACCTACCCCACTTCCTTTTTTAAAAAAAAAAAAAAATTATAAATGTGGTCAGACCCTCACCATTTTGAATCACTTCGTACTGTATGAGAAACAAATTATAAAAAATTGTTGGTAAATGACCGTTGAGTCAGACCTACCCCACTCCTTTTTATTTTTATTTTTTATAAATAATAAATGTGGTCAGACCCTCAAATCTTTCAAGTGTTATTTGAAAAAAAATTATAAAAAATTCTTATTGATGACCGTTGGAGCTGAAACATTGAACCCATCTTTTTTTTTTGTTTGTTTTAAATGTCTTCACGTTTTTAGATGTTTGGTCTCTAAATAGTAGTTTAATTAAATTAAACAATATATAACGTGGAATGTATGAGTATTGTACCATAGTTTTTCTCAAAATAATAAAATATGAAGGATCCTAAAATATAGCCTTGCATGGCTGGAGATGGAAAAATTTAGCCCTGCACTATTCTTTAAAAAATTAATATTTTGGGGGGCTAAATTTTTAGCCTGAACTACATTTAGCCCTATGACTGGAGATGGCCTAATGGTTCAAAAATTGTGTCAAAACATGTGTAAAAAATATAGTTCTACGGATCCGCCCCATATATATATATATATATACGTGGAAGAATTTGATAAGAAAAATAAAGCAGATAGCTTTCAACTTCTTGTTAACTCAAGCTATTCCTTTCTAGTTTGGTTTTCCACGACGACCTCATCGCACGACAAGTCGTTGATCTCATTTCCGCTCTCTGCGCTTCCGCTGATGCTTCGCTCTGAGCTGACTTCGTCGCTAGGGTTTCAGATCGCCTCTCGTCCGATCCGTTGGCCTTGAATCGCCGTCAGATTATATGGTATTTCCATCCTCCGCATTTATCAATTCTCTACTTGTTTATTTGTGAATTTCGGAATCGATTTTGAGATTTAAATTAAAATTTGCGGTAATGATTTGTTTTTTCTGTTTGCTTCTTGAGAAAATGTAGGAAAGTGTTATGATTTCTTATGTTTTTAGGTAATCAAACAGTGCATGATTGGTTAAGGTTGGACGAATTTGGTGAAATCGAACTTGATTCTACTGTTTCTCATATTGAACCTGTGTTCCTTTTTTTTTTTTGGGTGAAATTATGAACCAATTTTGAGATTTTAGATAAATACTTTTGGTAATGCTTTATTTCCTATTTGATTCTTGAGAAAGTGAAGGAAAACTGTGAAATTAATTTTATATTTTTCAGTAATCAAACAATGTATGATTTAAGTATATTCGCACTTGATTTCAGTATAATTGAAGGATTGTTAATTAAAACCTGAAATTGCCTTATAATAAAAAAGTAGTATGAGTTTGTCATGTTTCTTTAAGATTTAGATTTCTCTACCTCATGCAAGTTCCCAGTGAACACCAATCCAATGAAATTTAAAGGTGATCAGATTTTAGTATACTTTAAGCCCTGACAAGAATTTGAAACTCAAATTTGTTATACCTGAAATTCTCTTATCCTTGTATTTTGGTTACATTTTTTGCCTTTGCATATTAAATTTTCTCTTTATCGTGGCATGATTAAAAAGGGGAAAAGGAGAGAAGGGCAATTTGTGAATCAGCATGACCTTGTTTATCTGCAAATTTTATGGCTAGGATTTAGAGTATACAGTGAAGTCTCAATTGATTAATATGCATATATGATCTGTGCACCCGCTGACTTCTAATAACGAAAAGCTTTTCAACAATATCTATAAAACTTACATCTTATTGATCTTAAAACATATATATCCCTGATAATAATTTTATCACTGATATGTACAGTGATGAGGCTGGTGTATCATTATGGTCTTTATAGGGATATCACCAAGGTTAGCCACCAAATTCCCTACATTCCAGAAGCCGAGTCCTGTTTGAGATTTTAAGTGAAAATGAATGGGATTTGCCTTCTGCAAGAATTCACCCAATAGCATTGAAATGGTTGTTTCAACAAGAGAAAATCAACAGGCCATTGTCTTATCATCTGCAGAAATTTTGTGGAAGGAATATAGCAAATGGCTCTGACATCATCATCCATGGAAAGAAGAGTGTCATGTGGTAAATGTTAATTCAATTGCAGAGTTAATAGTAGGAGCAATACTTTTTTGTTCTTATTGATAGGAATTCTGGAGAAAAGAAGGCCAACAGCATGACATAATTTCTGAAGTGAATCTCATGGGAACTATTATTAACATATTTCCAACTGTTTCATACCAGTGATGCTTGCGTGGTATTGGGAATGCTTTCCACAGTCTTTATTGTATATCAACAAATACAGTCCCCACAGATATCACAGCCGTCTTAGTTTTAATTTTTAAACTTTATGCTCAGTGCACCATGGAACTCTTTCTCATGAAGACTCTTGGCTTGCAGCGACTATGACGGTGAGTAACTTAATTTGGCTTTGCATGCTGCCACAGGAATTTAATCAGAAAGGTTGTCTTCTTTTGAAGTTAATAATTATCACTACGAGCTGCAGACGGGTGGTATCATGAATGTCTCTTAGTAATTGGCATTTTTTTTCCTTAATTTTTAACCATTCTGCGAATCAAGTGCTCATAGTAGCTTTAAAACCATTATTTTCAGGTTTTATAAGGTGTGGAGAAGTCTTAATATTGGTGCCTCTTATAATTTACTGCTCGTTAAGAAGGTTAGTTCATCCTATTAAATTCAACCAACCATATACAATTGCATTTTTCTTTTGAATCTACTGCCACATAGGATGCAGCCAATTTCCTCTATTTGAATCTGCTGCCATGACCTATGCAGACTAATGCATTTTGGATCTCTTTTGGTTGCTTCATCATACCTGTTGGAGTTGTTTACCAGAATATCTAATCAGAGGAATAGAACTAGGGAGGAAATGATATGCACCATGGAGTACCTGTAGTGGCTGTCCTAGAAGGCCTAATTCTCTACAGTGCCTCATAGTGGCTATGAATTGTGGCCTCTGCCTATCAATGATCTTGGGGTGGGAATTTCCAATGCAAGGGACAAGTGTGAGTTCAAAGAATTATTGGAGTTGGATGATTGTGGAAAACCTTGTAAGTGTCTCTAGCCGTCCTATGCTTAGCATCAAAATCTTTCAATAATCTTCACAAGCCTACAAATCATGTAACAGTCACATTGTTAAAACTGCATAAGGTTCCTGAGTGGATGAGATCCGTATTTGATGATTCTTGCACCAAATTATTTGAGCACACAAATTCTACTTTTATTTTGAGCTCTATTGAATTCTTAAAGATGGAACAAATTGCTAGTGTAAGGGATTAAATTGAAGCTTTCCTTGCTTTTCTTTTTTCGTTAAACTCCAAACATAACAATGAGTCAGTGTACTTTTGTCCAGTTGGTTTTAGAATGAAAACTGGGTTAAACTCCAAACATAACAATGAGTCTGTACTTTTGTCCAGTTGGTTTTAGAATGAAAACTTGCTGATAGGTTTCCTTATATTTCCACCCTTTGTCATTCCAGTCATGCGTGAGGATTTAGAAGTCGAATAGCAAGGAAGTGCGATTAACAGAGAGATAATGCAGCTATTTTATACATTGCAGGTGTGCATAAAACAAAAGTACACTGCCAACAGTCAAGATGAAAGTGCAGAAGAGCATAAAAGGAGGTGGTGGTCACTATCTTGTACAATTCGGGAGAAGTTTGTGAGTATTTCATTCATGATGTCATCTGAGTCATCTCTATATACTAGACAGGGATTCTGGAGGATTACATTTTCGGGATAAGAGATTGTTAGACGAAATATAGCTTTTCTTTAATACTTTTACAGTAACAGATGGCAGCTAAGAAAATCATATTAGTGGTTCAAAGAGTGAAAGCACCTGCAAGCATTTGTGATCATTGATTGCATGAATAGCTGAAAAAATGCATTGGAAGGGGCTGACTTTTTTTATAATATTTGATTCTTGTCAAGAAAGTTTGCGACTTTAATGGTTATCGTGTTAGACACTGTAACCTTGGTTCCCATCTAACCTAGATTGTTAGAGCTTGGAAGTTAAGAGACAAAATCCGATAGACAGTTTATAATTTGAGCTTGGAAGTTAAGAGACAAAATATTCTTTCATTGCTATAATTTGAAAATATACAAGACAGTGGAAATGTCTACAAGACAGTAGACTTACTCATTAGCACTTTGTACATTCCGCAGCCTCTTCCTATGTGTAAAAATCCTAATTACTTGAAGCTATCTATCTATCCATATACTCTTAGCTTAATAGTCTCCAATACTCTTAGCAATTGGCGCCAGAAATTAACATCTCAAAGTCTCTCATCGTTTTGAAGTTATCATCAATGACAACATTTCTCTCCATCTCTTCGAGGGCAAGCCGAGCAGCTTCTCTATCTCGTTGCCGTTGCTCCTTGATGTACTCATTGGCTTTCATCATCTCGGCAGCCCTAAACTTCTTGATCTCATCTTCGGTGTTTTCAAGACCATTAGAGCCACTGTAAAGAACCTCTTGTTTGGCTTTGAAGATGGTACCTGCAAACCGTGCCTTCAGCATTGCAACCCGAGCGGCCCTTCGTGGCGACAGATTAATCTCATCGGATGTTGTGGTTGCGTTTGAAAGAACGGAATTGGAATCGGAATCGGAATCGTAAGCGGAGGAACGTGGACGCTTGAAAGAACGGGCGGGATTGAGTTTTTCACAGACCTTGTGGTTGCAATTGTTCAAAGAATTCAGATTAAGCTTCAACTCTTCAAGCCTCATTGTCACCAAACCAATTAAATCAACACTTCAAGTATAAACGAAGAAAGAAAAATTGAACAAGTAAATTGCGTGGTTTTTCAGTTTCTGCCAAGTGGGTTTTGGCCAAGAGCGAAGCGTGTGATTGAGAATCAGAATGGGAATGTGAATGAGAGAGAAAGAAAGAGAGAGAGATTAGGGTTATATGGATTTGGGGATTTAGGGTTTACAACCAACGGCTATATTTCTTCTCAATTCATTCTCTTCTTCATTTCTCTCGCAAACCAGTTTCGTAGCTTTCACGTCTCACTGCCCACTGCCCAGCCTAAAGTAAACCGCGTTTCGTCTGTATTTACACTTTTGCCCTCTCTTCTTTGCAACGATTATGTTTCAAACTTCTCGCGCCAATTTGCTTCATTCCACGCAACTATTATGCCTAATTGACAATTTTACCCTTTTTTAAAAATTAAAAATTAAAAATTGTTGCCACTTATTTTACTTTACATCCTTTTTTTTGCCCTTTATTAAAGGAGGTACGTTGAATTTTTTTTTTTCCTTAAAAAATAGGAGTTCAAATAGTCACATCCTTCTCAAAATGTTATGAGGGTTTATGAGTGATGGCAGGACTTTTGTCTTTTGTCTGAAGGAATGGATTTGTTTATGTACTTAGAATGGGAATAAAATAGAACTGGAGTATGAAGGAATCAAAGCAATAATGAAATCAGGTTGTGAAGGAATTGGAGCAAGAACGAATAGTATTCTGTGAAGGAATCGGAGCAAGAATGAATTATGAGAGGAAGGAATCGGAGTTTGGTAATCCATCAGCGTGTTTATTAAATGTCTCGAACCGAAATAATAATAAAATTGATTTTCTTTACAATGTTTATTAACCTTAAGGAATTGGAATAAAACCAATATGATTACTAAAAACCCCTCAAACCAAACACTTTCCCTCTTCTCCTACTATTAATTAATAAATTTTCTCAAACGCAACAAATTATTTTGCTAATAATAAGTACACAAGATTATTTTGCCAAAAAAAATGTACACAAGATTAGTAAGTGCACAACAAATTATTCTTATTTCATATCAATTGACACTTTTACCCTCTCTTCTTCATTTATTTTCATTAAGTTATGTGATATTATTTTACACCCTTACTTCACAACAACTAGAGTTTTCGAAGTTCTTGCTTGCGCACTTAGCACCAATTGTCTAAGTTATTGCAACTTCCAAACCTAAACTTATCAAAATTTTACCCTTTTTTATAATTTATTTTATGTGCTATTTCTTTTGGTTTTCTAGACATAATTTAGCAATGCCCCCAATTTCGGGTGAGAGAAGTTTGATGATTGCAGAGCTTTCCTTGACATGGAAATTTTATCAGGATTCAAGTGATACCCTTGCTTAAAATTGGGCTCAGATCGCCAGAAGAATGGAACGTCCCAATAGCAATAAGAAAACATTGCCCAAAAAATTTGGCTCCTGATTGAGACTTATTGGCACAATCTTAGGCCTTACCCAAGTACTAACCACATCTCTTTCGGGCTTTTTTATTCAGCAATCGATTTTATTGGGCCTACATTTGACTCTATCCATGGTTAATAAATTGGAAATTTACTGGGCCTGCTTGTCAAAACTGAGATTAATGGTCTCTATCTTCCCCTCTCTCTCTCTCAAATATGCATAAAGCTATAAAACATGAAGGATCAAGCAAAGGACTCTGGGATGCTTTTCTACTAAAAGGTTATCCACCAAGAATTAACACTGTAGCATCAACACCAACATCAAATCCACGCACAATTTTTTTTTTTTGTCTTTTTTTTAAATTTTATTCATTGAAATACTTTCCTCTCACCTAACGGGAAGAAGAAGAAACATATTGTCTGGGTGCGCTAAAAAGATCCTCTCCTTCGAATGGAGAAGTCCAATCTCGGGAACCCGCAGCTGATGCTTCACCATTAGCAGCTCCATCCTGCAGTCCCACAAAGGAAACAACATTCATGTTTGAGGATGCCGTTCTGATTCCAGGCTGACCACCCAACCCAGCAGGTTTTGGATCATAGAAGTTGATATTGCTCTTCATGATAGAAGGCAGTCCTGTCCACAACCCGTTGGGCCTTGGCGAAGACAGACCTCTATCCAAACTCCAGTCAATGTTTGTGTAATCTATATGTCCACATGAGCCGCCACCAGCATTCCAGTCTGCCGGAGCAGATGCCCCTGATGAGCCAGCTGAGCCCAACCCTGAGAAGAGTCCAAGGGAGGAAGCAGCAGCAAGTGTTGGAGAAGCACCTGCTCTACTCCATATGTTATTCCCTCGGCTTGTTCCAGTGGGATCAGCTGGGCTGCTTCCAGGAACAAGCTGCTGCTGTTGTTGATACTGAAACTGATGGTACATCTGATTTGAACTCAAATTGCTAGGAATGTGGGGCAAAAAGCCACTGGACCTCATCATTTCAACACTAGTAGAAGGATACCAATTGGTAGCGGATCCAGGAGGTGATGAACTCATACTAGTGGTAGCGGATACCAATTGCTTTGTATTGACAGATTGAGGACGCTGCATCATAATAATGGGTTCCCTCACAGTTCCAGGCTGAAGGTTCTTTAAGTCGCCCCCAACAGCTACATAACGAGTTTCCGTCTTGACTGGTGGAGATGAGACCTGTAAAGGTGATGCCAATGAATATGAAACTGAAGGATTCGATGCAGAATTTGACCACCTTCTTTCAGCAGGAACTGGTGTCTGTTGGGGTTTTGCCCACTCCATCTTTGGCTGTCCTCTCTTCAGAGGCTGCAGAGTTTTACTTGTAGTTTCTATAGACCCTCCAACTGCAGCTGCTTGTTTTGTATAGTTAAATTCCTTATCATCCCTTCTTTGTTGTATAGTAGGAAGAGGATTTGGTTTTATTTGTGGCCTCAAGTTCTGACTAACAGAAACTGGAAGCTTGCCATTAGTACCAGTTGGAGGATCGCCAGTTTCTTCTGGCTTAAGTGATACAGAAGGTGGATCTTGCTTTGATGCTCTTAAGCTTTCAGCAGCCTTCTGAAGATCACCCTCACAGGCTACAATAGCTCTTTCAACCTCCTGTTTTGAGCACTTGAACCTTGCTTCCATATCAGCAATCCGAGCAAGTTCTTCTGATATGTCAATTTTCAAATTACCCCCACCAAAGTTTTGATCCCTTGGCTTATCTGCATCTTCACCACCTTCAAAAAGCCATGCTACTGATTCCTCTACTCTGCCTTCATTCAGGATGAGAGCCATGGTTGCCCGCTCTTGTGAAAATCCCATTGCCACAAGCTGTTGGGCAAGTGCTTCTAGCTTTCTTGACATGAGATAACCACTACATCGTTCATGCAACTCCTGAGCTCGCCGCTCTTTCTGTCGCTGATGCTTCCTCTCATTCTTCTGACGGATTTTCTCTCGCTTGTCATTGTCAGCTCCCGGTACTGCTTCCTGCTTGGTAGGAGGATTAGATGCCTTGTCTTTATGGTCTTCCGACTCACCTGACCAGCTACCATTATTGGAAACAGAATCATACTCAGCTCCAGCAGCAACCGAGCCCCCAGAATGGTCATCTGTTTCATCTATGTTGCGGAAACGACTATTACTGTGAAGAGGTGATGCAGAGGATGTTGGTGACAATTCAAGGGTATGGAATGTTCCTAAAAGTGGATTGTATGCACTAGCTGGGATCCCACTACTTGCATTAGCAGGCCCCGTTGAAGGCTTTAAAGAAGGTGTCTGGGCTTCTTTGCCAGCCTTCTTGTCCTTTGATTTGGATCTGGACGATGCAGGAGACATCTCCTTCAAAATTGAAAAGCAAAGCAAACACAATAAATCCTGCAGCGTTTGACATACGGGATTTATCTATTCAGTACAAATGAAAAATAGTATATTGCACGATGTTGCAAACAAGTTGCTCTAAGAAAGCAGCATTTCGATACCAAACTAAACCAGGCCATATGTATAGTTTACCACCACAAATACAATCACCAGAATTATACAATTTAAGGTCCAGTTACACAATTCCTTGAACATTTATGCAGAATTCCATGCAAACCCACATTTTCTTAGCCGCAATTCAAGAACATTAAAAAAAAAAAAAAGGGATGTGAGAACCGAATCAAACCCATCAAATCCACGGTCAGTTTGGATTGGCAAAGATACGCCAGTCTTGAACAAATCACGAATTAGACGGTTCAAATCGAAACAAAATCTGACACAAAATCTCCAACTAACCCAAATTTCCATTTCTTGAACCAAACAATTACGAACCCAAATCAGAGAATACCACTCACAATCCAACCACAACAACAATTAAAA